GTTTTCGTTTTTCTGTTTTTTTCAAAAAATTGCATTATGGTTAATTTGAAAGGTTGCATCTTCTCGTAAAACCCGTTTTATGGTTATTTGCAAGAGTTGCATCTTTTCGTTAAAACCGTTTTGTCTAGAGTTGTTTTTTTTCGTTGCAACTGTTTTGCCAAGAGTTGTGTCTTTTCATTGTCACTATTTCGTCAAAACTTGCGTGTTTTCGAAAATAACCACTTTTTTGGTTTTCTGTAAGAGTTGCATCTTTTCAAAAATGAAATATTTTTGGGTTGTGATTTATCGTTACGTAGTTATATTTTGAAGTAACCGCTTTATAGTTATCGTTAAGAGTTGCGTCTTTTCGGAAAAATCGTTTAGCCTATATATAAACATATATGTTTTAGTTTTTTTCTGTCGATGATCATTTTGTTAATTATGGCTATTGGTTCTATAATTCACTTAAAACGTAAGATAGATTAAAACGTCAATCTATTATTTTTAAATTATTTTAAAATATTAAATTTTTTACTATTGATGAAGTTCCTAAAATTCTTGATTTGTGTAAAAAAATTTTTGGATTTCTTTAGACAATGCAGTTATTATTGTGTCTTTTCGAAATAAAACCGTTTGTTCTACATATTTGTGTTTTTAACTCTATATATTTTTTTTTGAACATTTTGTGTATTTTTATATGACTACTAATTTTAAAATTCACTTAAAGCATAAGAATGATAAAAACGACATTCTATTATTTTAAAATTATTCGAAAGTATTGAATTTTTAGAAAATTTAAAGAAATGCCACTTTTCAAGTGCTATTTTTCAAATATGCCACCTTTTCAAAATCTTTGCAAAAATGCCACTTAAACAAAATTTTTTTTTTTTCAGTATATCATTTATGTTTGGGTTAACTATGTTGTATTAGGGTTTAGTTTTGAGTGTTTAAGGGGTTTTAGAGGTCAAATCATTTTTTAGGGTTTATAATTTTAAGATTTAGGCTTTAAAAATTCATAATTAGTGGTATTTTTGCAAATAGACACCCCAAGTGGTATTCTTGCAAATGTACATACCAAAAGTAGCATTTTTGCAACTACCCTTTTTTTTAAGTGTAATTGGATGTTTTTTACGTCCGCGATTTTCGTTGGGTTCGAGTCCTAGTTATAATAATAGTCATATATACTAAGTTTTTATATTTTCTTTATTAAATTTCAATATAAATAAACATCCTAATAAATTTTTGATAACAGTATAATTTGGTTATCCGGATGAGGTTAATGGAGTATTTTTCATCTTAGTTAGAGGAAATTATAGACATGTACCTGAAATTTCCGTTCAAAACAATTGATCTATAAATACTAGATAAAGGATAAAACATACTTAGAATTTGCATCATATCTAAATATCAGGAAATCTCATATCTCTTTTCCTAATTTTGCATGAAAAAATATAAAGCAAACTTAAGTCTCTTACACTTTTTGTATTGGATTTTACGGTTTACATTGCAAAAAACAACTAGAAAGATCCAATGCGGTAAAAGCGCGAACCGGCCATCTGGCCCGAACCGGCCCATTTGATACCTTTAAGTCTTTTAACACATTGAGTGGCTTGAAATTTTTTTATTCCACCCATATGACTTTCGAACTTTTT